GCTAATGTATCATTCATTAACAAGGGTAGTGGGCGGTAGGGGTGTGATGTTAGGAGGGTGTTGACTTGCGAACGTGGCAGCTCAGGGTAGGCAATCCTGCAGCATTGTGCTGATGGATGTGGTGTTGCTCTTCTCTGGGCTGATGAAGAAGAAATAATGTTTGTGTTCTAAGCCTAGATCTCGCTATGAATTCCTGAGAGTATTTCCCATGTCTTGAAGACTATCTTTTTTTGTAATTTATTTTCCCTTCTGCCTCTTAGGGGACCTTGATGGACTTTGTCCCTTCTACTCCTCCAATGATCCCTTCCATCATAGTGCACTGTGTTAATGAGATCGAGCAGCGAGGGCTGCATGAGGTAAAAAGAAAACGAGGTGTGAAACAGTGCTAATGAAATGGGCTGCCGTGTTAGGGAAACAAATTGTTAACCAAAATATCTCTTATTTATGGTGTGTATAGTGCCGCTCAGTGGGTGTCTCTGTGAGTGAGTAACAGTGTCTGTAGAGTGCTCAGGTGTGGAGAGAAAGTGGGAGCAAAAGAATCTGGCTTTATACATGTGGTTGATAGTCTGCCTCCAAGCAATGCTTTCTGTTAACAGACAGGCCTTTACCGGATATCTGGCTGTGACAAGACAGTGAGGGAACTGAAAGAGAAGTTTCTTAGAGCAAAAAATATTCCTTTGCTCAGTAAAGTGGATGATATCCACGCTATCTGCGGCCTTCTCAAGGACTTTCTACGCAGCCTGAAAGAACCCCTTCTCACTTTCCGGTTAAACAAGACTTTTATGGAAGCTGCAGGTAAGGAATTGCTAAATGACATCTCCAACTCTTTCCCTGGGTTCAATGGTCACAGGTTTAGCTGTTGTGTGAACTGGCAGACCTCACTGCTCCATGGAGCTCTCGTGCTTGCAGCTTTGTTGATGTGTAATATGCTGGGAAAATCTCTCCTGCTGTACTCTTCTTGGAAAAGAAACAAGTTCAAGTGCTTGGGCAGGATAAAAATTAATACAATGGCATGTGAAGTTTCTGGCTTCCTTGTTTCTCAGGCTAGCTATTGCTGAGAGGGGAATGTTACACCTCTGCCTTTGGGACTGCTTTCTGATGCCTAAACACTTTTTCCCCAGAAATCCTGGATGAGGACAACAGTGTTGCTGCTATGTACCAAGCTGTTGGTGAACTGCCTCAGGCCAATAGGGACACCCTAGCTTTCCTCATGATCCACCTGCAGAGGTATGTTCAAATAGACTGGTAGTTCTGATAGGGGGATGTTGGCTCTAATTACTGCTTGTGAGTGTAAGGTCTTCGTTCTGGAAGAAAAAATGCTTATTCAGAGGCTGAAGCATGTGTGGGACAGGGGAGTTGTATAAGAAGTGGAGAAGCTATATTTTCTCTATTTTATTTTTTTTTAATATAGGGTAGCTCAGAGCCCAGAGACTAAAATGGACATCACCAACTTGGCCAAAGTCTTTGGCCCCACAATAGTTGCCCATGCGGTACCTGATCCTGACCCTATGACACTCCTGCAAGACACTAAGCGGCAACCTAAGGTAGGCCAGCGGAAAGGACTGACTTGGGTGAACATAACCTGCTTAAAGAATTCAGATGAATTGCTGGAGGCAGCTGAGGTGACACCTGCCTGGTGTCAGTATGTTAAAGCTGCGTTCTGGTTTGTAACATCAGCTGCTCCTGGGTGTCTCTGCAGGTAGTGGAGCGTCTTCTGCTGTTGCCTATGGACTACTGGAGCCAGTTGATGATGGTGGAGCAAGAAAACATTGACCCAGCGCATGTAATTGAGAACGTCAATGCCTATTCCACTCCACAGACACCAGATGTTAAAGGTAACCCCTGGATGCTGCTCTGTTGCTGTGCAGCTGCTGTATTAAAAATAACGACCCTCAATCAAAGCTGCTTGTGAGACTGTTGGAGCTAGCCATTCCTGCATGCTTTATGGAGAAAGAGGGAAGAAAAAAAGCATGCCAGCAAATATCAGATTAGTATTTCTGACAGATTAATGTTCCTTGCGTGGCAATGAAAACTTAGCTGTCCTCAGTTGCTCACTTTGCTGCCTCTTTTTTTTTTTTTTTTTTTGACAGTGAGCATGCTTGGACCCCTCACCACTCCGGAACAGCAACTCTCCAAGACACCGTCGTCTAGCTCCCTGTCCCAGAGGGTCCGGTCTACCTTCAGCAAAACCACCCCCAAGTAAGTGCCGATGGGCGTTATCACAAAGATGTTGGGGTGACTGGAGGCGGTTGGGTGTCCAAGGAGAACTAGACATAGACTTTTGGACCCAGTTCCGGGAGCAGCCTGGATTTACTACTTGGTCGACTCTCCCTTAATCAGTGCTGTAACAACAGTGCAAGCTGCATAATGATTAACGAGCATCAGCTTATGGTAGAGAGGGGAACACTTAGTTTGGGAGGGAGGTGGGTAAAATTTGGGTGAATGACCCCTGGGAAAGGGGACAGTGTTGGATGTCTATATCCCAAACCTGATGTTTTTCTACTTCTCTTGAACTAGATTTGGGAGCAAAAGCAAGTCTACAACCCAGCTTGGGCACCAGGGCAACTTCTTTGCCTCTCCTATGCTGAAGTGAAGTGGACCTGGGAGTTAGTGTCATCCTAGTATTTGCACACCAATATGCTTGAGTACACTAATCGCAAGTCCTCTCCGTGGCCCTTGGCAGCTTATGTAATAAGATCTTTTTCCTCTTATCTTTCAGCTTAACTGAGACTTTTAATGGGATTTTATTGTGCAATGTATTTTTATTATATAATGCTGTGCTGAATTTAGTATTGGTGAAGAAAGTAACTAGCAGGATTTGTGCAAAGTGTTAATAAAAACTGCTAGAAGAACTCATGCTTTTCCAGTCTTCCACCTATATGAAGTGGAACAGCTGTACAAGGATTGTAAATTGTTTTTAAAGCTACATAGGTTGCTCTTCAATAGCAGTGACAGCCCGCTTGAATTTTGTCAGAATCCAGTCTTTCAAACAGCACGCAGGTCTAATTCTTGGCTTGCACTATGGTCGTGCGGCCTGAGGATGGCAGTGTTGCATCTTTCTGATGGGCAACAGATGCAGTTAATGAAACAGAGCTGGAGGGACTGTGACTTTTTCTAAAGAAATATTTCCTGATACTGTGTTTACAGGGGGGGAAACTTTGTAGAGGACTGTCTGTAGATGCAAACCCAAAGGATTCCTGGGTATCCTGGGTATTCCTGGTAATTCTAAACGAATTACTAGTGCTGCTCATACTGCTGGGGGGGGGAATGAGAGGAGTTTAATAGCACCCTTGCTTTTGGGAGAACCTGCTTTCCCAAATCGGGATATGTGACCTTGCCCAGTGCTGTATGAAAAGACTTGTGGAACACGTGCAGAAGTTTATAAAACAGCTGGTTTTGTTGAGCTCTGGAAAACTGTCCTGACCTGTGCAGTTAAGTAAATCATGATGTTCTATGTGACCTATGATTCTGTACTCTGGCTAACGGTTTTTACTTGTGCTATACAGAGTTTTAACCAGGGCCTGTGTAGCTTTAGAGGAGGTTGTGGTGCTGTAATGCTGTGGTGCTGTGCTCTGAGTAGCTCCTGCCCCTAACGAACCCAGCAGTCTTTGCTGCTGGGGTGCAGGATCATGTGCCAGGCTGTGGCTCATGGGTCCAGGGGAGGAAGAACGACAGTTTTGGTCCCCAACATGGTATTGGGAGGTGACGTAGCCTGGGTTGCACGTGGTGGCCTGGGTCGTCTCTTTGCCTTGGTTATGGGGTCTGGAGGACAAAGTCCTCTCCTGCCAGGTTTGCACCCCAGCTCTGACCCACTACAGGAGATGGGGCAGCTGGGGGCTGCTGCTCTCCTTCCCCAAATCCTGTGTCTTGGACATGCTTGGCTCAGTCCTTTTCTGGAGCATCTTCACCCAAACTGGGTCCTTGCCTGTTTCTTGTTGGAGCAGAAACTTGGGGACCTGCTGGGGAACATGTGCCCTGGTCACCATGGCCCCACTCTGTGGGGTGGCTTGGTCACCAAGCCACCCCCTCTTGCTTACTGTTGGGCACAGAGGTGGCCCTGCCAGCGCTTGGAAAGGTGGCTGTAATCCTGGGATGGAGGGGTATGTGCCCACCTGTGCCCGTGGGGAAGGACACAAGTTCCACAATGCGATGTGCAAGCAAATAGGACACCGCAGAGCCAGAGCTGTACCTAACGTGAGCCTGCGGGGAGGGTTAGTGAAAACCGTGACGAAAGGGTGTGTCTCTGGGAGTCCGCGCTCTGCTTGCTTTGGGTTGCAAGGAGACATCAGCTGTTGCACAAGAGAAGTTGTAGAAAAGAATCTGAAGTATTTATTGATCAAAGAACATAAAAGCCAGAAACAGCAACCAGTGTGTTGTTCCTAGTAATTCCTCTTAAGTGGATACCAGTGCAAGAAAGCAAAGCCCGTGTTTATGTTCAGGCTAGGGCAAGTGTGCATACACTTCAAAGGATTAATGTGGATACAATCACAACTATATGTTCCTTAATCAGCAGCTAGCTCTTGCTACATTGGCATTTAATGCAATTGGGCAGGCTGGGGACCGTATCTCTGTCCTGTACGCAAGTGCTTAACCCTCCTAAAGACCCCCGGGCAGTTAGTGATCTTATGGAGTAAGCCACCTTCTTATTTGTTGCAAATGATGAATGCAAATTCTGCTAATTGAAGGGAGTTAACTTCTGCCTTTATCAGTACTTAGTTCTGATCTATAGCAACTCCAAGGGAGTCACACAGGTATACACCTGCAAAGGATTGTGCTCAGACCCCGTAAGCCAAATTCTTCACCTTTATTTTCATTCCCTCCTCTCAGAGAAGCAGCACTGAGGGCAGGGTGTGTACATTTTGGGCACCCAATTATCTATGGGGAGGCCTGTACTTAACAGATGAGCAATGGGACAGTGACAAGCTGGTAGCACCTTATATCTTCATGAAGCAAGAGGCCTGCTGTTGGAGAGACAGATAAACACTAGTCCTTGATCTCCTCTAGCTTTGCAAAAAGAATACTCTGCTTTCTCCAGACCAGGGCTCCCACCATCTGTCTAGACCAATTCCAGCAAATTCCGCAGGCAGGTGGCGGTCGGTTTCTTGCATGAAGCGATAGATAGTATCAGCATCGTCACTGCTGCAGTACCTAGCCATCTTTATGAGCTTCCACCCGCACTCCTTCCTTTCTTCTGTCAGCATGGGAATCTTGTAACCATCCATAAACTTTACTTTAGCTTCATGAATTGATCTCTTCCTGTAGAGGAAGAATTTTCCCCAGTAGAGATCAAGGGCTTGACACCCTTTGGGGCTCAGGGTGTCCCTCTTCTCCTCCAGCTCCTTGTAGATCATCTCTTCCTGTGCTGGGTCTCTTACACCATAGAACTCTGCTAATTGCAGCTTTACAAACAGAATATCAAGGTCTGGATGTTTCTGAACAATTTGCTTGAGCTCGTTGATGGCTGCCTCTAATATATTCTTCTTGTCTTCCTCCTTTGCATTAAGCCATTGTATCTTGTAGTACTTGGCCAAGACTTGGTAGAGAAGGTGGTAGCCTGGATCCTGCTGCAGGGCTCGTCGTAATATCTTGATTGTTTGCTCTGCAGACCGTCGCTGCCAGAACATAGCTGAAATTCTGAGGACATCAGGATCGGAGCTTTTCTCTGCACTTTCTTCTATCAAGTTAATTGATCTTTTTATATCCACATGTTCAAGTAGCTTGGCTAAATATATTTTAGCTCTGTAGTTATTTGGCTGCTCAAGGACAGTTCTTTCTAACTGGATTATGGCTTTCCTTGCAATATCAGGATACCAGAAGTAACTCCAGGAGAAATAAAGAGCCATTCCGAGCCCAGCATGGAAATATGTGTTCTCTGGTTCAAGCATCAATGCCACCTCAAAGCACTCTCTTGCACGTTCCCCATTACGGGCTCTGATGGCCAAGAGGGACCAGCCTTTCTGGGCCTGGATGTATGGGATCAGCCGTGCATCCAAAGGAGGGGGGCAGAGCTGCTGAATTCGTTTCAGATATCTTTGAGCCTCCTCGTAAGAGCCCTGAAGGTAGTGGATCCAAGCATAATTCCCATAGATAATCAAAGAACCAGCAGTAGATGTCTGCTGCTCATCTTGTGTCTCATGGTTTTCAGCATCTTTAAGGCTTTGCAGAGCTTCTCTGTTCTGGCCTTTCAGGTGGTACAGGTATGCCTGCAGTCCCAAGAGTGCTGCCCCGTTTTGGTGGGCTGTGTGCTTGATTTCAACAGCCAGCTTCTGCAGGACGTGTGTAGGTCCAGCGTGGCCTATTACACCCAAATGCCAGGTGAAATGGCATTGAAGAGCATCCAACTCCTTCTTCAGTTGCTCACTGCTACAATGAGGGAAATGTGGGTTATGAAAAGGCAGCATGTGGAGGGGTGGGGTCCTGGGGTACCCACACAGAGCAGAAAGCAGCTCCTAGCTGTGTGTAGAATCATAGACTCCTTTTGGTTGGAAAAGACCTTTAAGATCATCAAGTCCAACTGTTAACCTTAACACGGCCTGTCCAACCACTAACCCATGTCCCTAAGCACCATGTCTATGAGTGTTTTAAATACCTCCAGGGATGGTGTTTCTCCACTTCCCTGGGCAGCCTGTTCCAGTGATTGACAACCCTAGAGGGATGGAGCTCTCCCCACTTGCTCAACAAGCTACTAAAGAACCTGTAAATCTTTGTTCTCATCTTCAGGGAAGCATCTAGGAGGCTTCATTCCTGACTCCCCAAAGGGGAGTCACTAGTACCTGGAGTCAGGGCTGCTCGCTCATCTTACCTAAAAAAAAAGGCTCTGGGATGGACTGCAAGAAACAGAAAGAGTAGAGCAAGCCAAAACCACACAATGAAAACATCGGGAGGAAACAGGGGCTGTGCCTTTATCTGAAGGATGCAGCAAGAGATGACTCGGCAATGAGAGTGATAAAGAGCCATGAAAATGTTGGACCTCTTATAGGAGGAGAGGCTGAGAGAACTGGGACTCAGAGAGATCTTAGAAAGGTATATAAATACCTAAAGGGAGGGTGCAGAGAAGACAGAGCCAGGGTTTTTTTAGTGGTGCCCAATGCCAGGACAAGAAGGAATAGGTACAGACTAAAACTCATGAGGCTCCATCTGGACATCATCAAACTTTTCCTCTTGTAACTGCAAGGACAACAGACTACTGACAGATATTCAAAAGCCATCTGGACGTGGTCATGGGCAACCTGCTCCAGGTGGCCCTGCTTGAGCAGGGGGTTGGGCAAGGTGACCTTCGGAGGTCCCATCCAACCTCGACCATTCTGTGGTTCTGAACAGGGACGTTGTGCTAAGCCTTGTCAACCCAAAGCCACTCTTTTTGGGAGCTGCTACAAGAACAGATGTTGTGCACTTACCTCATTTTTACTGTGCGTATAGTGTCACTGTCAAGGAGTGATGACTTGGGCTGTGCCTCTTCCACGCTGCAGCAGATACACTGGGTGGTATGGAGCCTGTAGTCTATTGACTGGTCCTTAAATAGCGAAAGTACTTCCTTCTGGGCAGGGTCTGATAAATAACTTGTCTCAGATGAAACAAAACTGAAAGAGAAAAGCTTAACCCTGGAAGAAAGTATTCTGGTCTCCTTGTCTTGAAGCTACTTCACAAAATGGGTCTAGGATCTGGATAAATGGGAAAGGAAACCCAGCGGTCAGAGCTGCAGGATCTGAACTCACCCCGGGAGTCCTTCTCCCCACTAAAAAAGACTTTGTTAGCGTTAAAACTTTTAGAAATTAACAGGGTTAAGGTGATAGAGCAGGATGCTGGGCTGCAGGAGGTAAATACAGCCCTTGGCACCAGGGCTTGTCAGGCTGGTTTTGTCTGCATCTGTCCCGATCTGCCTGAAACTTTGCTGCAGTTTGTTTAGCTGGTTTACCTGTAACAGCAACTGCCTAGCAACAAGGTGGCTCTCACCTAATTCATTTTCAGCAATTGAATTTGCATAGTTTTGTGTGCCTGTGAGGTCCAATGGCCATGTCCGTGATAAATCCGATGTATTTTATTTCCTTAGGGAGCAGGTAGTGCTGCCAGAGGGTCAGCATGCAGTCATGGAGCACAGGATGGCCCCAGGGCTATTAGCAACTTGTCAGTGATCCATTACTGATTATTAAAGAACACAGTTTTGGCAGGTGACAGAAATCAGCCTTAGAGGTAAGCGAAAAAAAATATAGGTAAAACACAGGCTACACAGTATATCTAGATGTAACATGGAATTGCAGCCCTGTGAAGAAAGATTCAAGTATAGAGAACAACAGAAAATACATTAAAAATAGCCCCAAGTAGACCCTAAACTGAGGAGGAAGAAACTGTCAACCTTATAATCATATTCCTCTCAGCAAAAAAGAAGAAAAAAACCTATCAATATCATTTTCTTCCCTCAGGATGCTGATGAGTCATTGCAGCAATGGAAAGGAAGTAGGGAGAATTTATCATTAGAGGAATGGAGTAGATACTATTGTCCATTGTGTTAGGGGTTTTTTTCCTGTCACTGAAAGCCATTAATAGAAATTAAGTAATTTGGATATTAGTTGTTAGTGTTGCTGTAACTGGATGAATGTGACTGTTGTATCTTGCTTAGACTGAGGCATTAATAAGACTTCCCATAAGTTCCAATTCTTGACTCCTCATGTAAGCATCTCCTTTCTGTGCGCTTTGGCTTGCACAAGCTGCTTCTCTGTTGCCTGTCGTGACCAGGATGGGGTGGTGCGAGCTGGGCGATGGACAGATGTTTGACTCCCTGGGGCAGGGGCTGAGCTAGGCTGTGGGCAGTGTTGGCAGAACGGAGGGGAAATCATGTAGAATCATTAAGGTTGGCAAAGACCTCTAA